TTTATTCTGGGTATGTCCGAGCTGCTGGCACTTGTAGTAGCGACGGATGCCCAGGTACTCTGTGATTGCGTGTGCGTGCCAGCCTGTGAAAATTCGTCTTGCCCTAAGAACTGCCGGAAGGATGGACGGTTGGCACTCCAAAACCCATTTGACTCGCTTTTTGGGTTCCGTTCTCGGAGTCTGAAGAGCGCTTTGATGCCTGTGGATGGGATTTCTGCTGTTGCAGCGATTTCCCCGATGAGTTCCTCGGGCATGATGTTGTCCGGGACGCTTATGAACTGTGCAGCGTGGCTTTCTTCTTTGCCGTCTTTGCAGATCAATCTCAAGGTTGGCATTTTGTAATTTCTCTTCTAATTGATCTATGTCTTTAGTTGATTTGCAAAAGACCTCTAACTCTCCTTTCGATGTTGAGGAGATATGCTCCACCGCAATTTGTAGGCTGCTAATCGGGGCTTTTTCTTGGAGCTCCTTCCTGAGTTGTGCTTCTCTCTTCTTACCAGTAGGCTTTATTATTAAACTAGGCCTCTGTGTTAGTTTCACTACTTCTGCAAAAGAGCGTGGGGGTGACTCCTGTATAACTGCTGATGTTGCTGCGTAAGAAACTGATGCCCTCAGTGCAGGAAGATCGCTCGAGGTTGTAGAAATCTGTGCGCGTACTGCTTCGCAACAGACGAAGGTGGATGTGTTGACCCCAATTTCAATTGTCTTAGGCTTCAGTGTGTATTCCGGGCCGTCTAGAACTAGCTCTTGTAGAACTTCTAACGACTTTTGTATGCGTATCCTTACGTCGTTTGGCAAGAGGTACTTGTTCCTTCTGGATGTCGCCGAAGCCTGTCTGATATCTTCTGCTAATGCTACGATTTTCTCTGCGTGCGTCCGATCTGAAGAAAGTAAGGCAAAAGGGTCTAGTATGCCATTGATAGGGGTATGGTCCTCTTCAGTCGGTACAGCAGATTTTCGTCGCATGGCAAGGAGCACTATTCAATATTGCAACACTATTCAAAATTGATGTCACACAACACTGATTCTTATCATTCACGAATATGATAGAGAGGTATGCAATTGTGTTTGAAAATGCAGTTGATTGCACAGTTCAGTAATACAGGGAATATTATCAAGATAGCAGTACTGAACAAAACAAAAACAAAAAAAAATAATAATAGTTCAAAGTTCGGTACAGGGTATTACTGCATTAAAGTTCAGTCAGTGTCACAGATAGGACTAACTCAGTTCAGTGAGAAATATGTTACACTGTGGACTATTAAAAGCCTAGTGTAAAAGCTGTCACAGTAAATAAAGAACTTGTTGCTTTGATGCAGGTTCTAATGTATGTGTGGCATACACTATATTAAAATAACACTATCACTATAGCAGTACAGATAACAGAGACAAAGTGACACTATAATTAGTGTAGGCTGTGAGTAAGTACAATTTAAACAGTAAGCCTAGTAAGAAAGTCACACCTGTGGATGTCAGTGTATTATACCTTGCACTAACCACAAAATGTTCTGAAGTGTAGTTTGAGATTGTTAATATACGGGCCTACTGCTCCCTGTTTAACTCAGAATGCAAGAAAGATGAGGTAGTTTTACCTCAGTAGATTAACATTACAGTTAGTAGTATACAAGGATTATTCATTGACCATCTAGTAAAAGAACCGTGGTTGGAGAAATTCCTCTAAGTCCACTATGTGTCGGGAAAACTAAGAAAGAAGAGGGATGGACACTGAGAACAGATGAAAGAAACAAATTAGATAGGGGGAAAGAAAGAGGGGGGTCGAAGAGAATAGTAGATGAAATTGTCAATAAGGGAGAAGAAGTGAAGTCAAACTGTGGTGGAGTGGAAACTTTGGGTTAAATAGTTACTGAGTAATAAGAGAAATAAAAAAGGGGGTTAGAATCAAAAGGGGGGAAAGAAGGATCGTAGAGAAAAGTGAGAGGTAAAATCGGAGAGGTAATAAGGAGGGAAAACAAACGAAGGTGGAATGGAGGCTCTAACTGGTGTGGCTGCTGAGTTATTAGAGAAATAAAAAGTGGGGGTTGTGAATTAAAAGGGGGAAAGAAGAGGGGTAGGGGCTTATAACTTCTTAACTATAAGTAAGGTGTCTACGAAAAGGGAATTTTGTGTAGAGAGTGAATAAAAAGAAAAGAAGGTGTTAGAATGTTACAGGGAAGAGCTGCAAGAGAAATAAAATGTAATTAAGTACAATTAAACGTAATTAAAATAGGAAAAGCACTGAAACTAATGGAGTTAGAGAAGAGGGGGAACTGGGGATGTCAATAGGAAGGAAAGGGGAACCTGTGTATGTAATTTTGTGGGGCTAGCTTGGGTTTAAAAAATTGAGGGGGCTTAGCGTATGATTAGTCTAAAAAGTGTTCCTGTGTGTGGGGTACTTATCCCTAAAATTTTCCTTTATAATTCTGGTATGAGACTTGGAAAAATTTCTCCGTTGAACAAAAATGCACTAGTGAACACATTTTGCAGGGTAATAAAACCATTAAAAAAGCACAATAATTGCAAATAAACACATAATATGTTTAAAAAATAAATACAGTATGAGGGAAAAAAAAATCAAATAGAGCTAAATTATAGTTTTAGATCATAAATTAATATGCCTTTTAAACGTTGTATAACACAATACTACCACAGAATACTAAAAATATGGGCAAAATAGCTAAGTACAAAATATAAACAAACACATGTGGTGAATAAAACTCATATATCCCACTTTGGAAAATTATTTAAAAATAATTAGATAGCTATCGGAGACCTAAAATACCATTAGTGCTTTGTACTATAAGTATAAAGTTATGAAAAAAAAATACTATTATTGACACATATGTATTCAGTTTTTAGTAATAGCCCTTTGAAAGTACCTATTTAGCACAAAAACTACCAGCTCTTGTGAAAACCCAGTTGTGTAAGTCCCGGTTATGCAAATCGGAACCAGAGGCTATTGCAAATTTACAAATTAATTTTTAATAATTTAATTAAAAGTGATATCAAAAATCTGGTTCGATAAGTCTTCCAGATCAGACTTAATGTAACTAAATAAAAAATAAATAAAAAAAAAATTAAGTTTCTAGGATAATATTAAAATTTTGACATAATGTATAGAAATAGGCTGTATAAAAAAGCAGTTACATAGAACAGAACCAGCTGCCTCTATACTATTGAATGAACAGAACTTACAGCATTAAATTCACATATAAATGATATTAAAACTGAATACGCTCTTACTACTAACAACAATTGAGCATTATCAAGAATTTGAAGTAGGATTAAATAATAAGATTTAGTTATATTCAGTAATCAAGACCACAGAGTCAAATGTTAAAATACAAAGTGCCTGTTACTAGGCTCTATCGAACTGTGCATACGACCTTAGTCAAGGTCGAGTTGTTGTTGACAATATGGCTGACGCAAAATGAAGCTGGTCAGTTATTCAATGTTTCCACAGCTCAATAGATAGAATGTAAGAAGCCTACCTTGGCAGTGATAAGACGAACATGGTAATCCAATGTAATCCTGGGTAATGAATTTTTTAAACACTTTTAACAATGATTTCTTGGACTTAGAATAAATTTCGTAAGGTTAACACATTACACAACACTGTTGACACACACAGAAGAGACGCTACGAAGACAAGAACAATGGACGAATAACAAAAACACTAATTTCATAAAAACCACTAGACGCACAAACACATAACTTATATCAAAATGCTCCTCCAACACTCACTCAACTTAAAAAAACTTTTCTATCACTTGTAATTAAAATTTCCGCTAATTACAGGGAATAATTGCGGAGCGCTTACAGACACGTCTTACTCCCTCGACGGACTCCCCGACCCGGACTAGTAAACCAGGCAGAAAATTGTCCGAAACAGTTGTTCGTGTGAAACAAACGCCGTGTGATATGGGCCTTAAACAACTCACGGTGGAACGGCGCTAGCGCCAGGGTGTCTGGGCCGAAGGCTCTACCGCAGGTCGAACTCTGGTGTATCTTGTAATGTTTTTGAAAGTAGATTTCTAAGGAGTCAGTTGTGGTTGAATTTTGAAAAAAGATACATAAAAGTGCCAAAAACATAAGCAGTGAGTGAGTAATTTTCGATGGTGAGAGTGTCAAGCATCTGACGAGCTGGTGACATGTTGCAAGGGAACATATTAGACGCAACAAGCAGTCTCTTAAACAGGGTAAGGAACTACAATATAAAGATATTCGAAATATAACGAGCCTCTTACGGAATGTCGCAAATTTATGCGCAAAATGCTAGGTTTCGAAGCGACGGTCTTCCCATCAAGGAACTTTATTAGCTACAGGATTGGTGATGGTTCATGGATATAAGGAGGCTTTTTGTGATTGTCATTTGCCAAGATCATTTCTGTTGTAGTGGAAATGTCAGCGTATGGTAATGATGGTGCAATGAATCGATATATGTCCATTAACTCCGCGTATATTTGTTTAATATTTTTCTTCTTGGAATGTAAATTGAATCACCTCAATATGGTTCGTGACATCTCTCTGTTTCTTCTGCATGCTAAAAACACAGCATCTTTGAAATTTTGGACGAATACACATTGTGAAGTCCTGTTAATATCCTAGCAGCATCAGATAATTAAATACTAGGAATTCTAATGAGCACAAAATGTGCTCATTAGAATTCCAAATAATTCATTAATTGCAGTGAACGTTATTTAAAAATCTGCATAATTAGTAGAAGAAACGCTAAATATCGTAATATTCAAACCTATCATTTTCAAAAACTCTGCCTAAAATGATTAGCCTAAAATTAAAATGTTTCTAACTTATTTAGGTATTTAAGTTATGTTTCTCCATGCACACTTAATTAAATATTTTTTTATCTGTTACTCCAGCATAGTATTTATTTTCTTATCTACGAGTTCTATTATTGGCCCTGTCCTGAAATAAAAAATGATCAGTTATCAGAGATCTGTTTCCCGAATATTTAAACGCTGGCGTTAATTTATGAGCAGCAATCTGATGCGTGCTATCGGTGTGAGCGGGAATATCCACAGATAAGATAAATTAATTTAACTATAATATTTTCATAATTAGTGCAACGGTAGAAGTTAGTTTGCAATCATGTTGTATATTTCCTTCCTAATATTAGCTACATTAGTTACCGGACCTTTTGCAACAGGTAAATATTTAATTTTTATTAAAAAGTAAACTTTGTTTTCCTTCATTGCATAAGAACGTTAGCGTAATGAGTTCAAACTATAAACTTATAAGGGATATATCTGTTTTTATTAATATTATCTCCATCAGAATCAGATGCTGAGAATTAAGCATTTTTTATTCACACATATTTCAGGATTTATGCGCGAATTTCACTATTATCTGAAGAATTTTTATAATTTGATGCATTCAGTAACACAAATTTCTGAACTTTTCTAAGCTAAGCTAATTCAAAATTATTCACAAATTCACGTATATTTTTTAGAAGGAAATAATTAATAAGATATTAAAAATTTATTACAGTTCGTTTAAAGTCTTGGAAATTTATCAAATATTTAGCAAAACATTAGATATGAATATTTAATACATATAAAAATTTGGATAAATTTACTTTTATTTGTAATTTATTTAGATTTTAGATATTCATAAATAAATTGTATCAGGTGTTTGTTACCGTTCAGGACCTCATTTTAAAAAGAAGAAATTAATAGTTTCCTTACATCATTTGTACTGAAACTGCGTTTTAATTCCATATCATCTGTCCATGTTGCAGGAAATGTATAAAGGAATATGACAGTTATTTAGTTATATCATTTGATACTAGAAACTGCATCTACATCTACTACATATGTAAAATATCCCGCAATAATTGGGAGTCTGTTCCGTAATGGAGGACGGAATATGTTTGATATCTTTCAGATTATTGCATTATAAATTTTTAATATATTTTTGTGCAAAAAGAAACATAACGCAATAAAATATTGTTGAGAAGGAAAAGAAAAATATAACTTTGTTATAACTGATGTAAAGTGAAATACAAGAAGTATGCAAGAAATTCTCTCTTCATGTTTAAAGGTTTACGAGACTTCAGATTTACAGCCTAAACCAACAGAAAAGAGATTTCACAGTTAAAAATTTCAGGAAAATTTAAATGATAAAAGCTTTCGAAACACCATAAGAATTTTTAAAAATATTTATACCTGTAGCTTAACAGGCAAATAAAAACAATCTTTTATTATTTATGAATATGTAGAATAGGCTAATGAATTTAACAGTTAGATATCATATGCGTTTTAATTTACATCAATTATATCATTAAAATAAAATGAAGATTAAATTTGTTGAAAACCCTGTTTATTATTTTTAAACAGCATCAATTTATTAACAAATAACAAACTGAATAAATTTGAAAAACAAATTTAATCTTTATATTTTCCCGCATGGCCACACCAAGATTTTGTATTATATAAATAAGCAGAAAATGAATTGGTATCAGCGTATAAGGTATTTCTCCCGCCTTTTTGTTGTGTGGTGGTCTGCACGTTCAGTGCGTAATTGAGAGATCCATGGTTCGATTCCCAGCGAAGGTGGTGCATATTTTTCATCTTGCCTGCTTCCAAAAATACCTAATGCCTCTACAAGTGTAGAAGTTGATATCATTTATTTATTGAATATAAATTGATATCATTACGTGTAATACAGCATGGAAGATAAATTAACGGCCTGACTTTTCACATAGCGATAACATTTGACAAAGTTTTCTTTTATATTATTTTTGTTTTTCCCGTTTGTTAACATAACGCAACCAAGTTAAACCAAGACAAAATTTTATACGTTAACTTGAAACACTCTACCTCTTTCGAATAATGTTAAAAGCAAAGTTTCAAATGGCAAATGATCCATCCTAACACTTCCAAAAACGCAAGGAATGTTCGAAAAACATTTGTTTCATATTTTTTCAGATTTATTCTTTTTTGAGTTATTGAAGAAAGCGAAGCTATTCTTTATCGTGCTCAGGAGATTTTCTGTCACATGTTTATATATATATATATATATATCATACTACTACTTGTTTTTTTTTTTTTTTTTTTTTTTTTTTTTTTTTTTTTTTTACTTCGATTTTATTTCTCTAATTTCTGGTGGAATGATTGCCCTACAAAGATATTTTAATCGTTTCCTTTGTATATAACATGAAAAAAGTGATTTGTCTCATAATATAAATATCCTCATTAATGAGGTTCCTTCCCTGGAAATTACACTAATTAAACTTTATACACTTTTTTCTCTTTATATTTTGGGATTCTCAATAATTTTTCCACTTTTTATTTTCGCTAAGTCTTATGCGCAAAATATTTCAGAAAATACCCTTGAGTCATCCTAAGGCACCTATTATTTTAAACAGTTGCACTAACAACTATATGGTTACAGTTGAAAACATCGCGGAGGAAATAACGGAAGGCGAAAACGTCGCGCAGAAAATACCGTGGGAGAAAATAAAGCAAAGAGGAAACATTGCAATTCTAAAACATCGTTGTACAAAATATCGTGATGGAAAATAAAGCAGTTCAAAAACTTCGCAGTTTACAAACATCGCAGTCGAAAATATCGTGGTAAAAAATAAAGTACCTACAAATCATCGCATGACGATAATATCGCACACATGCGTTTTTCAGGCTTTAGTAACTGTAAATAGATATGCGCATAATGATTTATGGGCGCAAGATGGAACGAAGGATAATTTTTACTTTTATATTTTTTAATAACTAATAAATTTATATATAAAAAAAACAAGAAATTTAAACAAAAAAGAAATATATTTTTCACTGTCAGAATATCAGATTAACAAAAGTGAAGCAAATAATCGCATAATTAACTCAGCACTTTGTTTGATAGATAAGGGCATGCAGTTACTTATCTTCCTTTTTCTAATCTTTTTCAGATTATACTTTTCATGAAAAAATACCAGTAAAACTTTATAAACAAAAAAAGAATCTGAAAGGTCTCAGATTTTAAATTACATCCAAAGGGACTTTTTTTAAACATTTTGTCTGTTATTTTTATTTGTTAAATATCACGTTCTTCGTACTTAAATCATAAAATTCAATTCAACAGCAATATTGCAAAATATTTAAAAGAGCATATCTTTAGAATTTCCGTTACACAGTCTCGATAAAAATAAAGATAAAAATGTTTCTTTTTTCCTACAATGTTGCCAATTTTCGCTTTGAAATCCTTGAGTTTGTTAATCAAAAATTTCGTTAAACTTTTACAAAATATGAAATCGATAATAAAACAAATTCCAAATTTCAAATTTGGGCTTCCACATGCCCATATTCGCAGTAGGATTACGTCATTTAATATTCGATGGCTCTATGTACCGTTGTTTTATCACAATGCGAGAAATATACATACATTTATACAGATTTTTCATTATTTAATTTCTTCAAGTATAATGCAGGACTCTAACATTTGGTGGCAACAGTTTTAAAAGTGAGACGGACATTTTTAGTGGACCAAAGCAAAATCGCTAAACGAGAACAATAGTCCTTCAGGGACAAAGCCCCTTTGGACTAATAATTTATTAATGACCTTTGCTAGTTAAATGTCAATTTAAAATTACGTTGCACTAATTTTCTATGCTTAAGTCTCCATTTTAAATTTTCAGCAAATATTTATTAGATAATAAAAAAGTATGAAAGTAAAAATGATCCTTCTTTCCATCTTGCGCTCACAAATCGTTATGCTAGTATCCTCTCACAGTTATTAAAGCCTGAACTACGCATGCTTGCGATGTTATCGTCATGCGATGATTTGTAGGTACTTTATTTTTTAACCGCTTTATTTTCGACGACGATATTTTGTACTACGATCTTTTAGAACTGCGATGTTTTCTCTTTGTCTTATTTTCTCCTACGATGATTTGTGCCACGACGTTTTCACCTTGCGTTGTTTCCTCCGCCCCGTTTTCGTCTGCGATGTTTCGGCGGACACCCATCTATATAATGCCCGTAACCCAAGTGAAAAAGAAGTATTTACACCATCCAGTATCCTTTAAAGTGAAAATAACATATATCCAGAAATAGTTTTCCAAGTAACTTGCAAGTTAATGATCTCATGTAACGTGCTATTTGAAAAGCAAGCTTTGAAAATTGGAAAAATAAAAAAAGAGAACAAATAGAACTGCTTTGGAGACCTAAGCAATGAATTTCTGAAGAAATAAAATCCTTACAAATAATAACATTTTTCAGCTGATGGAAATAAAATACTGAAAGAATTATCCAAAAGTTTAGATTTGTTGATTTTCCAGATTAATGATTGAATACATGGAAGCTTAAGAAACGAATCCAACGCAACCCGCTGCAGCTTATCTAAGAGGACACAAGAACCCACTGCATGCCAACGTCTTAATAAGAAAAAATACGTGAAAGAAGACTTTGGATTCCATCAACAGTCTGTTCATATAAAGAGATAGTTATTGAGACATATTTAATGATTTGTATTAGCTAACTTAATAACTCCTACACTTTGTATTAGCTAATTAATTAATAACTTCACATTTTTACCCATGATACTCACAAATTTAATCAAAATGTAACTGCATCTAATTTAGAAATGATTTTGTTTTTTTTATCTCACTTTTCACGAAATAAATATGCAACAATAGGAGCTAGTTTCGAATTTATTGTTTCTAGTCTTCCAGTTTATCACTTATTATTTATCAGTGTTTGTCGCTCTGTGGAAAGAGTTTAAATTTAGTTGTTCGTCAACAAGAAGGAAAATCGTCAGCATTATTTACGTCATAATTATTTTCAAAAAGGATAATTTGTTTATGCGTTCTGGCATTATATATATATATCACGCCATTTCTTTATCATTCATACCATTAGGCCAGACGTCAATACAATCTTTGCCTTCATGCATACTAATAAAAAACATAAGGCTTATTATTAGAGATAGATACCTTTTATGTAATAAACTATATTATATTTCAAAACACACGATAATCTCTTAGCTCTATAAAAATTCACAGAAATATTAAGCAGCACATGTGTTAAGTAAATTATCCGGCTTTATTACGGATGACAAAAATCTATCGAATAAACGTTTAAGAAATTTTTTAACAGATAAAAAAAGCACATTTTTTTTAGAAAACATGAAAACAGTAATTCTTGACTGTACGGAGCATAAGGTACATTATCTTCCACACAGTCTCGTTTACAGCCGACTGTAAGAGTGTTGCAACTTGCCAGCGATTTTTTTTCCTTCCTTCCATACATTTAATTTTTAATCATCTGTTAATGATTATTAAACTAAACGATTTAAATGCATTACACAGACTCCTAAATAATATATATCTTAAATTTACCTTTAATATGATTAAAAATTTATAAAAGGAACTATTCTGTAATTTCTGAAAGAAATGCAATTAAAAAAGAAATATGCGTAAACTCTTCAGAACCATCATCCTATAAGAATGGTCAGTGTTTTAAAACTTGCAACTTTTTTTTTCTTTCTCTTTTCCCCGCAAACAAATGCAGAACAACAGTGTTAATATTCAATTATTAACTAATTATTTAAGTTCATATCAGGAAAAAGAAAAGAAAGATAGAGAATATTTGAAATATGTTTTTCTGTTTTCTTTTCAAATAGTCCATAAATTTTACTTTATAGGGCTTAGCATCATGCTGTAAGGATGCATTACACTGAAAACGATTCTTAACGAATGGACGATTTAATTAATTCAAAGAGTTTCATAAGCAATGTTCTCAACTTTTTTCCCCCGTGCACCCGTTTCCCCATTGCTAGAATATCATTCTCGCCTTCCTTTCCAAAATTCAAAAAATGCATGTACATTTACTCGTATTTAAATTTATATGATTTTTTTCATGGCATAGCAGATAGTAGGCGGAGTCAGTCTGACCTCATTACCCCCCCCCCCCCTGAAACTGTGAAATTCTCTCATGGGGGAAAGTCCTCCCTTACTCTGAAAACTTGGTTTAAACCTTATTAAGCTTAGTCCATAGGTGTTTACAGGATTCAGATTTCCTAACGCAGTTCTTTCAAAAGCTTTGAGGGTCTAGATCTCATATATCTCAAGACCTCATTTTCTGGACAGATTTTGATGACCTTCCTATGTGGAAGTTTGGTTTATATAATTTAATTGTAGCTTAATTGTAGCAAAACAAGGGAAGGCTATCTGTGGAAGGGAAGGGACGCCTTCGCGGAGGACGTTCTAAGGAGAAGTACCTCGTATACACGTTATACATGGGGAAAAACATGAAAACGCCCACGTCCCTTTTGTTTCGAATCGAACCCAAGACGGAACTACCAGTGTTCAGCGACTATACCGCTTCGCTGCTGGGGAGATCCGTATAAGGATGGGATACCATAAGGTCACAACATCGTGTCAGTAAGAAGAACTTATGTTATTCTACTAAAGCAAAGGAGCTAGCTTGTCGTTCCGCTCTCCAGGTAATTCAATATTGTAAGACACAAGTAGGTTAACAGTTCACACACAAAAAACAACATTTATTCCTATTCGTTTACAAAAAAGGCTCTCAATGCTACAAATTTAGGGCTAAGCGTTACTGCGATTATTCGTGTTTCATCTCTCCAAACAAGAAGAACAAAGTAGTCTTTTATAGTATCCAACACCTTTCGAAATCCTTTCAGAAACTAATGTGCTACTTTTAAAGAAGTGGTTAAAATCTTAAAGAAGCATCTTTTAAAAAATAGTCAACTCCAGTTTCTTCGAAGAATTCCTAGACTCTAAAGTAATAGCCCGTAAATTCGAAATATTTCACAGATACTGACATGCATATTTTATCTTAGTATATTAAGAATAATGTCTGAATTTTTAATACTGTATTCAAACTTAATAAGCCGTATTATTATCTTTTAAATATTTATCATATAAAACTTCATCATGTTTGATATTTATGATATGTGATCACCATATAAAAATCACATATGCAAATAGTAAGCAAGTAATTTAAATTGTAATTTGAGTACTTTAAAAGCAATGTTTGCATAAAAGACCAGTTTAATGCTAAATAACTAATATGATTTACATGCAAATGGTATTTTAAGTAAACAAAAGTTATATTTTATATTAAGTTTTTCTAGGCAAAAGCAATTATTAACAATCATAAAATTAATTTGTTTCAAATAGCTCATGGCTTTACAAAAATGCGAAATTTATCTGCTAGAACATTTTTGCCCTTTGTTTTTGTCTAGGTTTATTCTAAATATTTAGTATGCAATACAGATATGAGATACACATATGATAGACTACCATTTTTAACACATTAAGTCCTTTTCAGTTGCATAATGAAGCTTTTAAAGAAGAAAAAAAAAGTTCAACAAAATTTTTTCCTAATTGTAGAATAATATATTTATTTGTTCTTAAAATCAGATTCCATAAGTTATTGATAAATACGTCAATCAAAGCAGGATTCATTTCAAGTATCAAGAGAGTTGAGCCGATTGAAAGCAATAATATCAAATTGAGTTATCATTTGAATTTTTAATGAGTTCGAAATCTTAAAGGAAATGTGCAAAAGTTTTGTAATTTGGCATATAATAAAAAATTATGAGCACACTAATTAGAGTATTACCGATCATTGTAAGGAATTATTTTAGTTTTTTGCTGGATAATTATATTTTAATTCTACAGATTTTATTTTAATTTAAATGTTTATCCTGGAAAAGGTTTTCCCGTTTAAGACGAATAAAATAAAATAAAATAAATAAATTAAAAATAATAAATTTTCTCAGAAATAATAAATATTAAGAATCTCATCTCTCAGAATTATCAGTATACATTCTTATCTCGTATCATTATCTCTTAGTATCATTAATTATCATCATTACATTTTTATCTCAGAATTAATTAAAATTAATAAATTTTCTCGGAAATAATAATAGTCCTTAAAATGAGAAAATAAATTTTCTCGTTTTAATGAATATTTGAGTCTCCTCTGAACAAGGAAAATTAAAACAAATTTTTATCTTAAAAATACATATTAAAGGGTTTTCTCCCTTCATTTTTGCAATATAGTTATTTCTGTAAATAATTTTTTCTGTATTGTCATGCTGCAACTTTGTAAGTTAATTAATGGTTTAGGGTATAATTTTACTTAATTTTTTCAGATAACACAATCGATGAGCTTCCATCCACCGCAGACTATATTTCAGAAAAATTCAGCATTTTCAATAGAATATAAAAGTTCTGTATTTATGTTATAGATTTCGTGTGTCTCTTAAATGCGATTAATATCAAAATTATTAACATCACATTGCAAAAATTAAAAATTCCATTGAGAATTTTAAAAGCATAAAACTTCTTAATGTTGGCCCACCATCGGCCGAGCGGTCGCTGAACACTGGTAGTTCGGTCCGAGGTTCGAATCCCGCGAACGGGTTGGCTGCATGGGCGTTTTCCTGGTTTTCCCCATGTGTAACGTGTATTCGAGCCAGTTTCCCTTAGAAAGTCCTCCACGAAGGCATCCCTCCCCTTAGGCAGATAGCCCTCGAGGCTTTGCTATAATCACACACACACACACACACACTTCTTAATGTTAGACATTTTACAATTGATACATAATATTTTAATTCTCCTAAAGCCCTTTTTGTAGTTAAAGTTAAAAAGAAAGTGTTTTTTTACTAGAAATCAAAATAAACTGTTTTTTTAAATATTTTGTGCACTGTTTTTTCTTTTCGAACTTATTTATCGTTTAATAACATATTATTTTACTTAAAATTTTCAGATAATACAACCAATGTGTTTCCATCCGCTGCAGCAAATATCTCTCAAAACTCTTCTATAGAAAATTCAACAGTTTCAAAAGAATGTAAGAGATATGTTTTAATAATTTTAATTTCATACGTATCATAAGTGCATTTAATATCTAAAATGTTAACAGCGAATGATAAAATATTGCATTCTGTTGACAATTTGAATGGTATAAACTCCATAGCATTACTCTCTCAAAATTTGCAATTGATGTATAATATTTTAATTTCCTTAAAGCAAATTTTACAAATGAAGTTGAAAAAATATTTTAATCAAAATCATAATAAATTATGAGTTGTTTGGGGCATGCGGTAAATTCTGCAACAGATTAATCAAGTAGGTAAATATTTATTAATTATAAAAATATTTAATAACTTATTTTATTCTAATTTTGAGACAAAAGCACCAATGGCTTTTCATCAGTTGCAAAAACATATCTCTGAAAATATTTCTGTGGGAAATTCAGTATTGTTGAAAGACTGTAAAATTTCTATGCTTATGATTTAAATTTCGTATGTTTCTTATGTGCAGTTACTATTCAGAATATTAAAGCCACATCAAAAAATATTTATGGTTGTTGTTACATATGGCTCTATTGGAAAGACCAGTTCATACATATAAAACAGCTCAAGTATCTCACAGGAACAACGATATATAATAAAAGAAAACAAACATTTAAAGTAAGGATCAGAACAAATGAGCATGGGAACAAAAGGCTAAGGCGGCTCAGAGTAAAAATATTTAATTCTATTAACAATGCCAACAGCATAAAATTTCTGTAATTACTGTATCACACATTTCACAATTAATAAATTATTTTAATTATCTTAAAGCGTTTCACATAATTAAACAAAAAATGTTGTGAAGGAAAATTATAATACAATAAGATCGGTTTTCAATCTTTCCGTTCTGAAACAGGAATATCAAGTAGAATAATTTTTGTACTGTTATGCTGTCTCTTTTTTATATTATTTATTCTTTAATATAGATAAGAACTGTTTTTAATCTTTCCGTTCTGAAACAGGAATATCAAGTAGAATAATTTTTGTACTGTTATGCTGTCTCTTTTTTATTTTATTTAATTTTTAATATAGATAAGAACGGTTAAGAACGGTTTTTAAATCTTTCCGTTCTGAAACAGGAATATCAAGTAGAATAATTTTTGTACTGTTATGCTGTCTAATTTTTATTTTATTTAATTAATATTTTTAATATATAGAATAAGAACGGTTTTTAATCTTTCCGTTTTGAAAACAGGAATATCAAGTAGAATAATTTTTGTACTGTTATGCTGTCTCTTTTTTATTTTTTATTAAATTTTTGTTATAGATAAGAATGGTTTTTAAATCTTTCCGTTCTGAAACTGGAATCTCAAGTAGAATAATTTTTGTACTGTTATGCTGTCTGTTTTTATTTTATTTATTTTTTAATATAGATAAGAGCGGTTTTTAATCTTTCCGTTCTGAAACAGGAATATCAAGTAGAATAATTTTTGTACTGTTATGCTGTCTCTATGTCTTGCATTTATTCTTTAATATAGATAAGAACGGTTTTTAATCTTTCCGTTCTGAAACAGGAATACCAAGTAGAATAATTTTTGTACTGTTATGCTCTCTCTTTTTTATTTTATTTATTTTTTAATACAGCTTTTTACTTAAATGTTTCAGATAACACAGACGATCAGTTTCCATCAACTACAGAAAATAATTTCGAAAACTCAACAACAGAAATTTCATCACTTTCAGAAAAATGTAAGGACTATATTATTTCATCTCTAAAGTCAGTTAGAACCTAAAATGTTAACTGCGTATGAAATAGTATTCAATGATATTCATTACTTAAGTAGCACTAAATCGTCGCAATATAATCTCTGACATTTTGCAACTAATGTATTATTTCCTTTTATTTATAGCTCACTTTTATATTAAACATGAAGAGAATTACGTTGTATTCAAATTTAATAAAAATGTAAATTCATCTGATTTTAATAATTGCATGGAAGGATTAAACGCAATGTTGAATGTCTCATTTCATCAAGGCCCACCAGTGACCGAGCGGTAAGACGCTGAACACTGGTAGTTCGATCCGAGGGTCGAATCCCGCGAACGGGCTGGCTGCATGGGCGTTTTCGTGGTTTCCCCCATGTGTAACGTGTATACGAGTGTTTCCCTTAGAAAGTCCTCCCCGAAGGCATCCCTCCCTTTAGGCAGATAGCCCTCGTATGCTTTGCCATGATTGAATAATCCAATCCATTTCATCAATACGCACAATTTTTAATTAGATTTTAAGGTATAATATAAATCATTCTGTTACGCACCGCTGAAATTATGATATTGATAGTAAAAACAGAATTCATCAGTTTATTAAATTTCAAATTTAAGTAAACTGAAACAGATATTCCAGTCTTTGATGAAAGATCAAAACGTACACAAGAATACTCGCCGTTGTATCCTTGTGGCTTATGTCATATATGCTACTACAAAAATGTGGCATTTTAGAAATAAGTAAGCTAATAACAGCGTATATTGATAGATATCTGTTTAGATAACAGATGATCAGAATTGAAAATAATTAATTAATTCGATTTTTGTTCTAAATAAAATTTTGCTTTTTATTTGTCAGTTTATTTTCTTTATTTTTCATTGATTTAAATAGTAAAAAGGTAACACAGAACACTATGTATTACTTAAGAAACTATTAAACGAGTACGCCATCCTCTTCCTTTGCAAGTATAGAAGGGACTAGGAAAAAAGGAAGATGATGAATAGACTGTGTATAGGCAGATTTCAAAACTTTAAAAATCAATCATTGGCGGACCGTCGCGGCTGGACGAATCCTTTGTAGGAATCTTGTTGAGACGACCTTGGATTGTAACAGTCTATAGTGCAACTGAAGAAGGAAAATAAAAATCAGATTTTTCCAGCGAAACATCAGCAGAATATTTATCCTACCCGAATAACAGAGACACAACCGTATATCCCACAAAATGCAAAGGAGTCTTTAATACATATTAATCTTTCGCTTAACTTTAAATAGGTAGTTACTAAAAGTACATCGCACTATCCATACTTCCTCTAAAGGATTTGGACAATGAAACACCTACATCTTGGAGATAATAATGTTTAATACAAAGCAGACTGTTCTTCGGAAATCCCTTTCTACAGAAATTCTGCTTCCAAAGAACGGATAGAATACCTATATATTCATTGAAATTCATTTTATTCTTCGGTTTATTTTGTTTATCATTAAACTGTTGGAAAACTGTGGCTAATTCATATCATGATTGTGAAGGAAGAAACACGTATTCAAATTCTATCTTCTTAATTTTCTTTAATATACTAAATGGTGTTGAAAGAGAATTTATGCAGGATTTACAAAATGTTGAAGTCCAACAACAGTCCAATATTTTGTAGATCCTGCATAAATTTTACTATGCACTAATTTTATTTTTTTTCTGCGAGGAATAAGTTTTATTATGCAATTCAATTTTAATTTTTATCCTGCCTAAATTTAATTTTTTGCGGAGAATTTATGCAGGATTTACAAATTGTCCATGAAATCATTTTATCACCAGTTTTGCAATTAGTGCATTGTTATCTTAATACACAAAACTTCACTCGAGTCCCTAGCCCCGTTCAGGTACTTATCACTTTTGGAGGATATTCTTTACTGTTGTATCACAAGTCAGTCAATAACTGGCAAGAGCAGGGATCACTATCACCTGCTGTGAGTATACCGACCAAGCATCAAAGCATCGAGCTCCAATATTAAAATATCTAAAACCCTGGTTGTCAATTTCCTTCATGATGCCTCAACAGTGCCAGATTGTGACATAACTGTCAAGAATGTGCAGTATTCCTAGATACTTCTACATCACTGTGGATTAAACTGTCCTTTCTTGACTTACCTTAGGTATTAGACTGGTTAACTTTTATTCTCTCCGGCAGAGGTTTTTCACATTAAAGTTAGTGAGAAACAGAAAAAGTAGTAAAAATTAGCACATTAATTATCAGTATACATTTTGCACTGTGTATTGTTCATTTCTGAACATCTGAAAGTACCTAAACCAAAGTTTAGCTAATAGCTTGAAGAGTCTGAAGTTCAGTTCATCAATATCTTTGCTACAGCTGCCTAATCGCGTTCATTGATATGAAACTTGGAACAATTCTAGTGTGTCTTCTTTCTTTGCAATCATTCAAAATATGTCCTATACAAAGTGAACGGTGAATAGTTATTTCTCGAACACAATCTCGTAGTGTGGATGGTTCTTTGACTGGGGTGATTGAACTGAGTTCTATTAATTAGAAACCAAATATTTTACTTCGAAGCTCCGTAACTAATATGCAGATCAGTTTCCTGATGCGAGTGTGCTTTGGTGTTCAGGTCTAGAGACGCATCACATGTTGACATGTCTGATTATAGATATGGATACTTAATGACACCAGTACGATTATTAAAGGGTTTTTATCACAAATATAGTTAAAAAACCCTTTAATTTAGTGTAAACGTATCCATAAAATTTTTATTCTATTGTTTATGTTTTTTCAGTTAATATTTTTATAGTTAATTTCTTTTATATCTTATTTAACGGTTTTTAAAAGGCTCTATTTTCGATTTAAACGCAAGTAATATAAATGTATATGTTTTAAAAATCTGTTTGTTTGGAGAAAAGTTTTTAAAAAAATCTGAAAGCTTTCAGATTTTATATTACGCCTAAAGGAACTTTTTTAACGCTTTGTGTGTTACCTTTAGTTATTAAATATTATGTTCGCACTTAAACCATAAGTTCAATTCAACAGCAATATCGAGAAATAGTTACAAGAGCATATCTTTAGAATTTCCGATGCACAGTCTCGCGTATAAATGTATCTAAATTTTTTTTTTCGTACAATGCTGCCATTGCTCGGTTTGAAATCGTTGAGTTTGTTAACCAAAAATTCTTTAGTGTTTTACAAAATATGAAATAGATAATAAATTCAAAATGTGGGCTTCCACATGCCCATATTCGAATGGAGGAACGTGATTCAAAATTGGATGTGTCCATGTAACCTTGTTTTTTCACAGTGTAAGAAACATACATACATTCATGCAGATTCTTCATTATTTAGTTTAATTAAATATAATGCAGGAGTTTAATATTTGGTGGCAACAATTTGAAAAGTGAACCGACATTTAGAGTGAATGAAATTAATAACACCTCTCGGCAAACTGGCCTTTTGGGCTAAAAATGCTTTGAGAATTATTTTAGCCATATAAACTAAAGGACAAATATCGTTCAGATTTTTTAAAAATTTATTTTTTACTTTTCGATTGTATGTTTATGGCAAAGCATTTTATTTGTACTCTGCGGTAAGATTTTTATGTATACGGAATATTTTACGCTTTTTTAAATGTTTTTGTCTTAAGGCCGTCTTACGGACAGAGTAGTCACAGATAAGTAAATCATATTCACCTGAACGAATTTTTGAAAATATTTACAGTAGAAGACATAACGTTCAAATAATCTAAATACTATAAATTTTCTAAAATTAATCTCTTTCTTATTTTCTGAAATTTAGCATCTAAGTGCTTGCAATTTCTGAAACTTTAAACATAGTAATAATATTGAACAACTCAGTAGCTTCTCGTGTGTTATAAGTTTAAATTCTGATAATTTTCAATGATTTCGTAACCTTTAAATTTCTGTTAAAAGTTCTCGATGTTAGTTCAAAATAATAGTTTAAAAGAGAACTTTTGGGAAATCCCAAAAGTAATTCAAATTAAAAGCCTATGCATTTAAATACTTTATATAATTTTCGCCGAAGTTTTGTCGTATCAGTTCATTTAAGAGCTAAATTTTAGATATAGCTTTCCAGACGGGAAAGTGATTAGCGGCGCTTACTGCAGCACGGAAGATCCCAACTCGAATCCCAAGGTGGTGTTTGATGTTTGGTGTAATAATTGGCAAAGCACACTAGGCTATCTGCCTCAGGATGCTTCGAGGAGGACTTTCTAAGGAAAACGCTCGTAAACGTTACGCATGGGAAACACGAACCGCCCGCAGCCAGCCCTTCGAATTCGGACAAACTACCATTTTCGCGGCTTACGCTCGGCCGCTGTGGCCCGATCCCAAAGAAACGTGGGTGATGAAAATGTATGTGTCCGTGCGCTGGATGCTCTTACGTATGTGGTTAGCTGAAGTCCTCCCGATGATTGGTTCGGGAAAAGGTGAATACATCCTAAAGGAGAATATCAACTAGCAACTTATACGAGATATTAAAACAATCCAGTATTTATTATAAATAAAAACAAGATTTAAATCTTTTCTTGTGTTATAAATTTATTTACTTAAATGCTCCGGATAGGAAAATTAAAGAAGTTTCATCAGTTAGAGTAAATATTATCCAGAATCTCTACTCGCATAAATTAAAATTTTCAGAAGAATTGCACATCTATTTATATTTTGAATTAAAGTGTATCGTTGTGACGCACAACATAATATTAAATTCCACTAGAAAATTCAACCGCAGAGATTCCAAAATTATGTCTCTAGATCTTATGATTAAGGTATATTAAATACTAAAACTTTTCTACAATAGCAGTAAAACTATTTATATATACAGGGTGATTATAATTAAAGTTTAAGTTTTCAAAAACGCTATAAAAAAGAACCACTGATGAAAATGAGAAATTTGAAAGGAATGTTATTGAAGAAGGCGGAAAGGATGGCAGAAGAAAAAAATTTAGTTTCAAGTTAGCAACAGATGGCGCTGTAAGCGGCAGAATCACGAGAGAAATATTCGTAAACAATGGCTAAGGTATAAGTTAACATTAAAAAGCATGAGAAATTAGAATTGTGATAATTTTATTTGTGACGTACATATCACAGAAAGGGACAATCGTTCAAGAGTTTTGCGGCGAAACGCAAGAACCATTCATCAAAGAAGTTCGGAACTGTCGCAGACTGGCACAACATGTTCAATATGGCCACCGTTGTGTGCAACAATTGAAAGCGACAAACAGCATGTCCCAACGGATCGCAGTGCTCCGGGGTGATGTTCAGAATGTGTTGCGAAATGTGCCTTTAATTCCGCTAAATTTGCAATTGGAGCACGGAACACAACATCCTCAGATATCCCCACCCAGAAATCACACGAGTAAGCAGGCGATCGGGACATCCAGCTGTAGGGAAATGACGGCTGATAATTCGAGCATTTCCAAATGGCGCCTCAGCTGCTTAACGGGATGTGCATGTGCGGAGGGCCATCTTGCATAAAATGATTTCATCCAACACACCCCCACGCGCAGAGCGGAATCACTGGTTGCGCAAAAGAGACGATACCTCTGACCAGTGCGGTTGCGGTAACAGGACCGGAAGCACCGTCTGCTCGAAAAAATGGTTTTAGGATGATGATGCCGTAAAGCCACACATGCGTGACCTTTCAGGAGAAGTGGTACGGGGTGCGTTGCCAGTGGATTTTCTGTTGCCCATATTCGACAATTCTGGGTACACGTACCCTGTCAGAGGAAATGCTTCATCTGTCCACAAAATTTTCCACGGCCATTCATTATCCACTTCCATGGAGCAGGAATTGAACGCAAAAGTCTCCCTAGCGGAAGGTCAGGCGGAAGCACTCCTGCACATGGCCAATTTGTACGGATAGCATTGCAGGATGTTTCGTATAATTTCAGCACCGTGCTCGTAGCCTGTCAATGTTGGGGGGCAATCCTCGTGCACTGCACGGTTGCACACCACGGCCGACCCCTCCTGTATGCTGTGGCCACTTCTTCAACTACCGTCGAATGCTCGTTTTCTCCCTCTACCAGATTGCAATCAAAAGAACTGTCGTTCGAATTTTGCATATTCTTTAGACCTAAGACACTCATTGGACCAACGCTTTCTTTTAACCTTCAGTGTCTGAATTTTGCAAGCTACTCTTGCACAATCATCATTTTGTAATACAGCTTACCAGCAGAGCGCGTCCTGCAGTGAACACCCATGGCGAACGTCTGAGAGCGAAATGAATAACATGGTACTGGCGCTTTATAACACTGAATTTAACTAACATTTTAATTTACGTCTTCTTCGTTGCAGCGACATCTGTTGCTACTTTTGAACTAAATTTTTCTCTGCCATACGCTTCCGCCTTCTTCAATACATTCCTTTCAAATTTGACGTCTTTTATGAGTGGTCTTTTTTTATAGCGTTTTGAAACTTAAACTAATGATAATCACCCTTATTAGATAATATTACGTATTATTTTAAAACTTCTTGGCTTCTCCTTATGCGATATAGAGGTAGTTATATTGTGTAGAAGTGAAAGGATATATTAATTTCGAAGATAGTGATTTATTATTGTAATATCTGTGAAAATTAATTTTAATATATTATTGTTGAAGCTCGTTTTTCGTTTGAATACGGTAAAGCTCTGAATAGCCCTTTGAATACGATAAAATCTTGTAAAGGCGGGTGATGTTTTCGTTTCTCCCGTCGGCTAGCTGCCTTTTTCTCCCTTTATCTCTCTGGACTGAACACGTGTTTTGCTGGTTTGGAGGCGAATAGCTTTAACGGGCGCATAACTTGACTGGTTGAAGGCATTCCATGTTGTTTGCGTGGGAAAAAGGTATGTCACTTTAAAAGATGGGGCTGCATTTTTTCAAATTTTGGGGATTAATTATTGCCTTTTTTCTAGTTGGTTAGAGAGAGTTTAAGTTTTGTGTTGGATTGGATAACTTTAATTTTATTGATATTTTGAGTCAATAGTGATTTTAAAGATTGTCTATAATTTGAGCTTCATCGAGGTTTTAAAGTGTTTGCACGATAGCCAGCAGAGATTTTCAGTTTTTTTTCCACCTTTGAAAAATTTACAGTTAGAACAGAGGAATGAGCGAATAGGTTCGAGCGTAGCACGGCGTAGTTCGAGCGTAGTATATTTTAGAGCGAGATAGCATTTGTAGAAGTAGAAAGTGAATCGCATTTTCGTATTTCCTTGAAAAATAATGTTTTAATTTTACCAAAACATTAGGGAGGATATTATGCTTTCAGTAGAAAGAGATTTGAAATGATAAACTTTATTTCACTCTGTTGATGATTTATGTAATTTAGTCTAATTTAAAGTCTTAGTTTTACAATCAACAGTCACTTAAAGAGTTCGTAATTTTTATGGGAGTTTTATTTATTTATTTATTTCGCTGCACAAAGAGAAAATTTAAGTAAGTCAGCAGGCATTTCAAAAGTAATTAATATAGCAAACCGTTTTTTCTTATTTAACAGTTACATAGGCATTCTTTTAGGTATGTGCTATATATGTCTTATTAATGTTTAATAAGCTTTATCCACACTTTTCAGTTACCATTTCGATCAACGTTCATGAGCTGCAGGATATATTTATGAAAACACACTGGAAATTTCCTCGTTTTTAGATTAGCCATATATTTATTTGATATTAGAGCTTTTCGCTGAAGTACTTTTAATGAACACATTTTGAATATTACATTAAAACTATTTCATTATATTGCAATTTTGACAGCCTAAAATCTTCATAATAGCAAATTCATTTCAGATATTTTACAACTAATTTAGCATTTAAATATTCAGGTCTTTACTCACTAAAGGGTAAATAACTGAGAAGCGAATGAATAAAGAGTTCCATTCGGCAGTAAATAAAGTATACGTATAAGTCTAGATAAAAGTATAAGTATAGTATAAAAGTTAAAGTATAGTATAAGTTTGAACCAACCATATTTTCAAATGTTATTTTATCACTGTGTTAATTCGTTAAATGTTAAATACATCATTGTTCATATAAAAATAACAATGATTTTCAAAACTCCAGGAAACTTTCTGAACTATTATAAGAAATATAGAATTTCAGAAAAATGTAAAAGCAATGTAATTATTCATATTTTGATATTGAAATGTCTCTGAAGTAGAGTAAATGAAATATATTTCTTTACATTAGCAATTTCGAGAGAATAAAATGGTCGTAATTTATCATTTCCGGTTTTACAATTAAATACTTTTTAATCTCTTAAATGTTTCTGCTTCATTAAAGGAAGACTTTGACCTAAATTGTATAAACAGCAGTTAATTTGGCTGTATACACTCTCTGGCCAAATGTATCCGGACACCCTGTGGTACGGACTTGGAGAGTCCTGAGACATATATTAATATTATGTTGGCCCCCTTTGGCATCGATGAGAGACTACCCACGTTTGGGGAGACTTTCCACAAGTTTTAGACACCTGAAAGTCAGGAATTTACTTCCAGGCGTCCATTACAGCTGAAGTGAGTGCTGGCAGTGAAAAGGCCATCAAGTTTTGAACACCCATTTCATCAAATCGTGGCTGCGCAGGTCTCGATGTGTGAATGGAGCAGTTACCTTGCTAGAAGAGAAATGGGCCTTCCCTGAAATGCTGCGTTAAAGTTGGGAAAGCGGCATGTCCAAAATGTCCACATACACCTTAGAGCTCATGTTTCCTATCACAGGGACTAAGGGACTCAGGTCAAATCATGGAAACACACCCACATTATAATGCTGCCACCATCAAACTTTACTGTCGGCAAAACGCAGTCACTTAACGTTTTCGTAACGAAGTCGCCCAAAACGCCCGACCATTCAGGCATCGGTAGATCGGCCGAACGCCTGATCCATTTGTACCTAGTGCTTTCCCCCATCACATTAGTGCATTGCTCATTGCTTTCAGGAGTTGTTAAATGACATGCCAATCCTTCTTCTGAAGCAATTAAAAGTAGTTCTGTTATAGAAACTGCACTCAGAGTGGTGAAAGCGTCCAAGAAAGAAGTTGTCGCTTCACTTAAGAAGGTTATTGTTAGCGCTGTAACATTCTACTTGACATGAGGGGGGGAGAGGAAAACCATTCATGGGAAATTCTTACACACGGGCATCTACGATGTTTGAGAAATACGGATTTGGTCTTTTCTCGATGCGAAAGAGTTAAGAAGCGCTCGTTGGTCGTCGGTCAAATCTGACACGTCCATCAGACGGCTAGACTGTAAAGCGAGTTTTATCACGCCAAAGAACATTTTGAAACATGTCAATAGTCCAGTGATGCTGAGATTTTCAGCATTGGGCAATCGATACTTTGCATTCTGAGGAGTGATGTACGGCTTGTGAACGGCGACGCGACCATGGAGATTTTTTTAACTCTCGACGAACAGCCCTGCTGCTAATACTAACTCCTGATGAACTTTGGGGTGATTTCAACCAGCAAGGACTTGTAATTTTGCTTCCCTACATTTTTCAGAGTTCAATTTTTTCGCATACCACTTCGTTTTGCTGAAGTTTCAACGCCTCGACGCTTTAGGGGGTTCGGATAATTTTGGCTAGATAGTGCAGGTGTGAAGTTGACAATTTTTTTGAATGTTATGTTAAACCTTTTTTAATTCGATAATGTATATAACATTATTTTATTAATTTTTTCAGATAAATTAATTATTGAATTTTCAACAACTATAGAAAATATTTCCGAAAATTCTACAGCGGAAATTTCGACATCTTCTGAAGAAAGTAAGAATATATATTGACTTTCATTTTGATATTAAAGTGCATCTGAAATGCATGCAATGTCCAAAATATTAACAGTAAATGGCAAATATTTAATTATATTAGCAATTTTGAGAGAAATAAGTCTCTGTAATAAGAGTAATATCATCACATCTATTTCATAAATAAAAGAATATTTTAATTAGATTAAGGTGTATTTTGTATTTGAAGTAAACATACTTTGAATCAAAATTATAGGAAAACAGCAAGTTTCACTTTGCCGGTATAGATTGAAAAATTTTCAAACCTTATTTTCAATCATTTTTTTTCGTTAAATGTGTAATTATTTTATTTAATTTTTCAGGTGAATTAAATAGTACATATTCAATAACCACAGGAAATATTTCTGAAAATTTCACACTAGAAAATTCGACTTCTTCAGAAGAAGGTAAGAACTATATATTTATTTTAATTTTGATATTATTTGCGTCTGAAGTGCATGCCATGTCCAAAAAGATTAAAGAGTACATGGAAAACATTTAATTACATTTCAATTTCGAGATAATTAAATCTCTGTATTACGAGTAATATCATCAAATATACACTGAAGAGCCAAGAAAAATGCAAACCTGCCTAATATCGTGTAGCCTTCCGAGCACGCAGAAGTTCCCCAGTAAGACGTGGCATGGACTCGACAAATGTCTGAAGGTGTGCTGAAGATAATTCACACCATGAATCTTGCTGCGCAATCCACCAATCCATAGGAATGCAAGATAGTGGAGATATCTTCAAAAGAGCACGTTGAAAGGCATACAATAATGTTCATGTCTGGGAATCTAGGTGAACAATGGACGCGTCTAAATTCAGAAGAGCGTTCCTGCAGTCGCTCTGTAACAATTCGCTACGTGTAGGATGTCGCATTGTCCTCCTGGAAATATCCAAGTCCGTGGAAATGCACCATAACCATGAATAGAAGCAGGTGATGAGACAGAATGCTTAGTTATCTGTCACCCGACAGAGTGGTATTTAAATATATGTTGAGTCCCAAATCCCACCATCTGCACACGTCCCATACCATGACAGAGCCTTCAGCAGCTGCAACAGTCCCCTGTTAACATGTAGTGTCTATGTAGTCTCCATACGCGTACGCATCCTTCCGCCTGATACAACTGGAAACGAAACTCGTCAAATCAGGCAACATAGTTCGGTTCATCAACAATCCAGTGGCGGTGTTGGCGGGCCCAAGCGAGGGGTAAAACTTTGTGTCGTGCTATCAACAAAAATACTGTGTAACCGCACTAGCAAGAGCAGTTTGGCTGAGAGCCAAGATGGGTCAATTTAATTGAAGGTGTGTGGGTGAAAAGCGTGGGTATTTTTCCCTCTCGGAGGTAGTAGCGGTTGTAACAGCTTTAATATCGTTATTAATCTTGTGCATTTGAATAGATAATATAATAGCGTACGGGTTACTGGCAATATTGAAACAGGCTCGAGAGCTGCATCTTTTCTCGCACAAAGAATGTCTTTTTTCTTTATTAAGTTTTTGTACTTTTTTCTCTTGTTTGTATGTCGCCATTTTTTTAGTGTAAAAAAGTTATGCTGTGTTCCGCATTAGTTACTTCAAATTGTTAAGTAGTATCACAGGTGAAAAGCGCGGGTATTTTTCCTCTCGGGCGGTTGGGGGTCATTTAGGCTTTTTCATACAATCGTTGAGCATCGTGTTAACGACCTTCTTTTACCTTTAAATCTTCATTTTTAAGATGAGTTCTAGTGTTCCAGAAAGCACTAGAACAACCTCCGCAGCGATTTAGAATTTGGTGCAAACGTTTTAAAGTTTGTGATGAAGATCACATGGAGACGACCATCCCAGTTACGCAGACAAAAATGTAAAGGAAAAAAGGTAGGCAGCTAATTAAAATAATATAATTTTTATGCAACTTCTTCTCATTAAATTGCTTTATTTTATTTATAGATCATTTGATTATAATATAATGTAATTTATTAAGAATATTAACACATAAAAGTTTTTCATTTAAGTTTGAATATAAAATTAACAAAGATGCATTATCTACATTATTATTAATTTAAATTGATCTCTTAATATTAATTATTAAATTAATATTATCTATTAAAATATTTATAATCTAATGATGAATTGTATTAAGACAATATTTATATTCAGTTCTTTAATGGTTTTTTTAAATGTCACGATCTGATGTTTAGCATTTTAAGTTAATTCTATAAATTTAAAATTTACGTTATCAGCTTAAAGTAAAAGCGCAGACAAGCATTTTCTGTTGCGCAGTACTCGGAAATAGAGCATGAAATAGAAGAACCTTTTAAATCTAACCGGGCTACTGCACTCACCGATACATCATTGATAGATATGTCCAATTCCGCCCCAAACCGGATGTATACATAAGTCTGAAGTATGTAGTCGGACAGTAAACGAATGGCCTTTCGGTTCCGAAACCCCATATCAATGATGGTCCGTTGAATAGTTCGCAGGCGGACAATTGTTGATGCTTCATAATTAAAATCTGCAGTAATTTGAGGAAGGGTTGCACTTCTGTCACGTTTAATGATGCTCATAATTCGTGGTTGGATCCGCTCTTTCGCGAGATTTATTCTGGCCTCAGCGTTATCGAAGATTTAATGTTTTACCTGAATCTCGGTATTCACTGAACATTCGTGAAGTGGCCATACGCAAAAATCGAAATTTCATCGCTACCTCGGAAATATTATGTCCCATCTCTAGTGTGCCCACTATAACACCACGTTAGAACTCACTTAAATCTTAATAACTTGCCGTTGCATCAGTAGTAACAGAGCCAAAACTTTGCCAGATACTTGTCTTATGATATATGTCTTATGTTATTGTGATTTGTTGCACACCTTTGTTACTTGCATACGTAGATTGATTTTTCAGGTTTTCATATCAAAACATTATTATTGATAAGATTTCTGCATTAAAGGAAAAGTACGTTGAATCAAAATTTTAATAAAACCGTATCTTTCATCTTGGCGAGATAGATGTAAAGTAGAGAAATTGTTCAAATGTTAAGGTAAATGGTTATAATTCGTTAAATGTTCAATACATTATGTTATTTAATTTTCTTCAATTAAATTGGTAAATTAACTAGTTAATATTCAAAACTACATGAAATATTTCTCAAAATTCTACACTAAAACTTTTTGACATCTTCAAAAGAATGTAAGAGCTATAGATTCACTAACATTTTGATACCCATTTTGATACATTCACTAACATTCATTTTGATACTCATATTATATGCACTTCAGACGATGTACATCTGAAGTGCATATAATATCCAAAATATTAACAGTACAAGGAAAAGAATTAATTACGTTAGCTATTTCAAGAGAATTATGTCTCTGTAATATTAATAATGTCATCATATATATTTCATAATTGAAACATTATTTTATTTACATTAAAGTGTTTTTCTTCATGTAAAGAAAAGTGTGTTGAATCAAAATTATAATAAAATAGTGTTAATAATATGTTTTTTAACTCATTAAATGTGCAATACATTATTTTATTTATTTTTTTTTCAGATAAATTAAGTACTGAAATTTTAACAACTACAGAAAATATTTCTGAAAATTCTACACAAGAAAATTCGACATATTCAGAAGAATGTAAGAGCTGTATCTTAACTTATATTTTGATATTAATGTGCAAATGCATGTAATGCCCAAATTATTAACAATATATAGAAAAGACTTAATTGAATTTGCCATTTCCAGAAACTTAAATCTCCGTAATACGAGTATTATCATCATATATGATTCATTCTTAAAACATTATTTTATTTAGATTAATATCGGGTTTTTCCCTCGTTTAAATGAGAAGTACTTTATATAAAAATTATACTAAAGTAGTACATTTCATTTCGACGACATCGATGCAAAGTAGAGAAATTTTTCAAATGTTACGCAAATAGAAAGAATACTGAAGAATAGTATAAAATTTATATAAACAGTTCCAAAAGAAAATAACTTTCATATTAAACACGTATATTTATTTGAAAATAAAGAAAATAAATCTGCTACGTAATTTAGTTTAAGGATAATAATTGACTTGAAAACTGAGTTTACATTTCCAAAAGTGGGCTAAGTAATGCTCATTACCACAGCAACTGTAGTCGTGAAAGATCTTTTTCAGCATTGCAAAGAATAAAAAAAAATATTTACGCTCTTCGGTTTGAGCATGTTATCCACAGTGAGCGACTTATGTAATAATGCATATAAGTGCGTTATTATCAACAGTTTGCCAAAGAAACAATTAAGTAAATAAATACCTAAGTTAACTTTCGTTTTTTTTTTTTTTTTTTGTTCATATAAGTCTTTTTTAAATTTTGCATGAATTTTATGTTTTTATTTTGTGCAATGGTAATAAACTGACTTTTTCTAGATCTGAAACTTTTGTAAGATTTGCCAGTTAACTTCTCTAGCTACTCCCCCCGACGTGTTTTGTTGTGAAGAGGGTCGCCTTTGGCCCTATGGCTTATGGGCGCCCATTATCCTTTGGGCACTGAATATCTTAGGATAGCATTGTGCTTTAGGGCTGTTGGAACCCCAAAATCTTCAAAAAATTGTGATTTCGGATTTTTGCATTTTCAAATTCTCTACACTTTTATCTTTCTAAAAATACATTCTTAATCTCTATTAAAATTAGAACTGTAAAAAAAATCTAGTTTTAAATATGTCTCGACTGCTTTGATCAATGAGGATTTTTATATCAAACCACGTTTTTCTCCAAACGTGATTTTTTTATACTCGATGTACCTTTTCCAGGACTACTGCTCACAGGTATCTAAAAATTTTTATGGCTTATTTATTAGGTTTTCTAATTTTACTGAAATGAGCTTTTTGTGATAACTTAAAATAAAACATTTTAAAAGTTTTTTGTGTGAGAAAGTGCTAAATTTTACTATGCCTAACAAAATATTCTGTAAATTACTCTAAAATTCAAAATGTTTCAAAAGCTCTTTCAGTATAATCATATAGTATACTTTAATTACACAAAAAATTTACAGCGTTCTACAGCACAGCATTTTGAGAAAAGGTACTCGAAAATGGCCAATTTAACATTGTTGGTATAGGGCCTTCTGATACCCCTTTACTTAAGGTTAAAGTAATGTACATTACCAAATATAATCTTGCGGAACTGAAAAGTTGCGTCAGCGTCGTTGCCACCATTATTCTAGATCTGTTTCAACAAAATTCACAGCTTCAAAATTAGTAGTGTTTCAAGGTAAAAACTGTCTTGAGAAGTCATATTGAAAAGATGTGATGTGTACACCAAATGACTTCCTTTATGAAAAATATACGCAGTTTTTTTTCATTTAAACTTATTTCTTAGAGATATATTTCTCATTCATTAATCAGTTTCTTCGTGAAGGAAAAATATAGTTTTATAAAAAATTGAAAAATATAAAAA